TAATACACGAGTTTCACAATTTGAGTTGAATTACTGAAATAAATGAACTTTTCCACGACATTCTAATTTATTGAGATGCACCTGTACATGCTTTATAGCTTATCTTTAAATTTGTGTTCAGCGGTGAAATGGACAGTATGTGAGTAGATGTAGAAGACGTACAATAAAAGTAAATAACCTGGGCTGTGTCTCTCAAAAGCATCATTGAGACCATTGGTGGCAATGGTTCTACGATCTACTTATGGTTATGATGCTTTTGGGAAATGCAGCTCAGGTCATTTTACTTTGGTAAATAACTTAGTAGGATTTGAAGAATAAGGAAGTAAGGAAGGTTTCTTCATTCCCTTTGTACTCAGTTTTATTATTGTTGTTGTTGTTGTTATTTATTATTGATATTGTTGGGCTCAACAGTAAGGATTTTTTTCTCTTAATCCAATTATTATTATATATGTATTTTTTTATGAATGCTTAATACTTATTTCTGGGATTTTTTCAGTTATATATGTAACATTTTTACAGACAAAAAGCACAAAACAAACAAAGTATTATTGCTGTAAAATGATGGAATGCGGTGCAAAAAAATTTGTTTTTCAAACCTATTTAAATGGCTCTTTCAAGACTAGCACAAATCACTCTCTCTATATCGCTGTCAGCCAGCTAAGACACATTGCATTGCTGACATATTTACATTAGTTGAATTTGCAAACGACATTGTTCAAACATCACAGAACTCAAAAATGTATCATTTGTAAAGCAAGCATTACATAATTTATAAATGTAAGGATAGTTGAAACGCAAGCATTGGGCCATCCTTATTGTTGAGCCCTGTATTGTGTAACCACTGCCACATATTTTGGATCTTATTTGTGTAGAGTTCTTTTCAGAACATGTCACACATTCTTGAAATGCTGCCCAGAGTCATAATTCTGTCTAGAGAGTCTCTGGTGATTTGAATATTTGCTGTTAACGCTTCTGTTCAGATCTGCATTTTTTGAGGTGTTTACCACATTGTTGTTTATTTTTTTTCATCACGAATGAATATGTTTCCCACTCCACTCGCCCACCCACCCATTTCAGAATAGCATTCCCTATGATCACCACGGCAAGTAGATGCTCGCCATGCTCTGGTATGAGAGACAGCATTGGGTGAGTGACAGTTGGGTGTTTTTTTAAAAATTTTTTTTTTTTAAACACCTGGACTACCTCCACTGCCCTCTATTAAGTAATAGGTGGCTCCCTGTCCCACATCACTGCTGTACGGCTGTTACGCAGCACATCACTCACCACACAGAATGAAGAGAGACTTCACCACTTCATTCCCAACTGTAATTCAGATGAAGCAGTCAGATGTTTAGCAAAGGCTCTTGAAGTGTGTAATTGAAAAGCAATGTGGTGTTATTCAAACATAGCGCCACAGTCGGGCTCCAGATGTAAAAAACCCATTCATTTTCTCCATAGATAAACAGAAATCTGCCATCAGCTCTGAGATTCTCTTGTGAATACCAAAAGAATGTCATGCAAACATTGTTGAAAATTAGCACCCAGGCAGTCTGTGTCTGACGTTACAAGCTAGTTTCTGCACAAAAGCAGTTTCTTCAGCATAAGTGAGGCATTATCTTCATTGACTTCCATTCAGAATGGCTTCTAAATATTTTGCTTTCAACTTAAAATTCAAATTTTGCTCAATTTCAAATTATGTTCCGCACACAGAAGTTCCGCACATGCAGTGGTCAAACAGCACTGCATTTGTTTGGTACACAACGTGTGCTTAACCAGAAGACCCGTATCGGAAAATTTTTGGTACGAATACGTGTAGTTACACCCCTCATTCAGATTAATCTCAAAGCTGGCTGGTTGTTGTTGTTTTTTGTGGCTCTTAATTGAAGAATTTCTATGGATAAAATGAATGGGAAAATATTTATGGAACTAAGGCTAGTACTGAAGTACACAGAAACCACCAGTATTCATAGTCTGGGATTCTTGCATACTTTATTCCGGTTTCATCCCGGTTAGCAGTTTATGACCTCCCACCCCACTCTAATGACTCAGATGGTATTTTTAATCTTTGCAGAGAAAGTAATTCATAACACCAGATGATGTGATGCGTTACTCACAGATGGACAGTATTGTTATCTCCTGAGCCATTTTTAACTGAACAACCCTCTACATTGCGTAAATCACTCGCATATGCGACTAAATCTTACTCTGGGTGACTAAATGATGTCTATCGTTAGCCATTGGCTAATAAATTCTTAGATTTTACTCGCCAGTGTGTGAGATGGAGGCTAATTATAAGTTTAGCACAGATATATTTTCACTCGCACATGCACATATGCAAAGAGAGACAGCGAGACTCTTACACACCACGCTGAATCGACGCGCTACATGTAAAAGGTATGCTTTGTTATATTTTCCTGTCAAAATAACGGAGTTCATTTAGAATTATTCAGCTTTTAAGAACAAGAGGAAGATATGGTGGCTTCTCCGGTAGTGGGAGGAACTAATGCGCAAACGGCAATTTCATTGGCTGGCCCTGTTTTGATTTCAGCAAATCCGTTCGAGCGAACGCTGATAACCATTATTAATATTTATGAACCCAGCAGATAATAATAATAGTAGTAGCAGTAGTATTATCTTTTAATAATAATAATGAATTACTATTATCCATGACCAACAATATCTTAAGCATCACCACCAGTCCTGTGGAATCGTGTGTGTGTGTGTGTGTAAAATGGTATATCAGTCTGGCGAGTAAACTAAAAAATGTACTAGCCAATAGCGATTATATTGCCAAGTTGGGTGTAGAGGGTTGCTAAATCTAGACTGTTGGGCTTTTGCTTATTGCTTATTTTTTACTAAAGAAATGTGCTAAAGCATCAGTCTCCAGAAATATTTCCCTGCTATCAAACCAGTTTAAAGCATCATTTCAACCCTTGATGGGTTTGAGGATGCATTATCATTCCTTTTAGTCATGTGAATTTTCTGGACGACGTATCTCCATATCCCAGTGCTCAGATTTGATCAGATCAAGAGTTATGATGTTGTAAACATAAGGCACTCTGCTTTCATTTAGTGCAAAAAAAAAAAAGTTGTATACTCACATATGCACGTATGCCCACCAGACCATCTGTCACAAATGTCATATAGCAGCCTACTCACGATCACCATGTACTCATAGATGTATTTAGAGAACCTAAGAGTTGACAAAAGTTTAATCTAGTGTTGGAGAGCTAATTAAAAATCAGTTGCTGAAGCAGAAAGGAAGCACAAATGCCGTGCAGCAGAGCGTTCTTGATTGTGTGCTGTGCAGCGCCCTCTGCTTGTGAGCGTGTGCTTCTACACTCTTACTGTGATGCATCCATAACCTCTAGTTGCCTGGGTGTGGATGCCTCTTTCTGTTTCAACCCCCAGTGCTTGGTTTTGGCGCTCTGGCATGCAGTGTGACCACCCAGACTGTGCTCCTGCGCCCACTTAATCAGTGTAGCTTTACACTTACAAGCATTTTTGCTTTCAGTTGTTTGAGTGTAAAACTGCTGCTTATGACCTCAGTTTACAGAAAACTCCTTTTTAACTCCTTTATTATTGTTTGTGCCCTGAATTAAATGTGTTTACTGGTAGTCTCAGTTTGGCTGAACTGCTCACCTCTGCAGCTCTTTTGTTCCCTCTGTAACGTCAGATGGATTCACCCCCACTCTTTCGAGCAGCCGTCACATGATTGGCCCTAGAGTCCTCGTGGGCCCCCTGCACTGCCCTGCCTTTGACGGAGGATCATGAAAAATGTATCCCCACCTAGTAATTAATCACCTCAGATTTTATTGTGCATCTGAAGGTGCAAAACACAATTAGCTGTCGCCCCTCCTCCGATCTTGAGATAACCCGCCATTTGTGTTCCTGAGTGGAAACACAATAATCTGTATTCATTGTTTTTTTTCCCCACTTTGTGTTTGGTGTTATAAACCTTGTTCCCCCCTCTCCTGCTATTTGCCCTCTGCTGTGACAGGCCATGGGGGAGCTCAGAGGACAGCCCTAGGACCACCTAAAATATTTAGGACTCAAACCATGCAGGCACAAACAGTTACCGCCCTGTAAGAACTAGTGATGCACCAAAAATGTTCAGCCAAAAGTGAATTTTCTGTTTTGGTCTTTTGGAGGGCCGAAATCATTGACTGAATAATGTTTAATTTTAATTGCTCAAAGTTTCGACTGTTAAAAGACATCAATAGAACAGCTTTTATTAATGAATTTATGTAAAAAAAAAAAAAAAAAAAAGTCAAAATCTCACATTTAACTCAGGAAGCCATTAAATTTTCATAGCTCATTAGTTAGTTAGAAAAAAAAACTATATAACTAAATATTTAACTGTATTACTGTTTTTTTTTATATTATGTTTATATTATATTATTGTATTTTTTTATAATTGCAGCATTGAGACTTCTTTTATAAATATTTTCAAGAGTAGTGTGATTCAAATTCAATACGTGTTTATTTATTATCATTATTTGTTGCTGTGGCTACAGGCATTATGCAAGAGTTAGTGAAGTCATTTGGTGACGTCCATAGACATCATCTAATCCACTCCCATCTTTTTGAAGAGTCACACCTAACAGTTATCACTCCAAAATACTGACTGCTTGAACGTAGCCAAACTAAAATTGCACTGTTAAGGCCAATTCAGACTGCACCGACAGACGTCGACAAACAGCAACAGACACATTCATTGGGTTTTGTCTGATCATGTGTTACTCCTGTCGGTGTCTTTTGGCATTGGTCAGTGCTTGTTTTTGCCAAAGGAACATGTTGATACGGCGTTTGTCAGGTCTTGGAATGTCTGATAAGTGACGTACTGGTCAGCTGTCACCATTGGTCTATGTCTATCAGTGCAGTGTGAATTGCCTTTTAAAAAAAACTCAGGAAGCTACTGAGATTCTCTCAGGAACAGTTTGCATTTATATCATGTGGCATTCAGAAACTGATGTGTCTGTTTCTCCTCCCCACTCCAGGCTCTTTCTCGCGTCACCCCAAGTGGCCTGCAGTCTGCCGTACCTCGATGAGACCCTCCACACACCTCAAGAGCAGACCAACCATGGCCCTGATCTGCACTAGGACTTCTCCAGCAGCCTCTAACCATGTGAAATCAACCTCAGCAAATCAAATCGAAACAAGAGACTTCATTTCCACCTTCCTCTCAATGCATTTAAACACACTTGAGAGTCACGCAAATTCGAGAGATGGACAGATTTTGGTTTTCTTCTTTTCACACACACTCCACACACACACACACACACAAACATTTCCTTACCTACACTACTCCAAGACACCTGGGCACATCAGTTGGGCTTGTTAACATCACTTTTTGCCAGACAATCGCTGGCGAGATGGGAGGGACGGGGGTGGGGCGGGGCGTGATTCTTGGCCATCACTGCTTTCAGCCCTCTGACACACCAGAAGGAGAGGGCCATCCTCCTGCCAACCAGGGGCCTCTTCGCAAAGCAGAGCTTCTTGGCTAAAGCCGTGTACAACAGCTCTGATTGCGCAACTCACCCTCTCCTGTTGCAAAAAAATTACTTTTACACAGCTTGGAATGCAGCTGTACTGATAGCCATTGACATTTTGCTTACCGTGATCTTTTATTTTTGTCTTTTTGTTTATGTACAACAGAGATTAAATTGATTTCACACTGGTTACAGTTTTTTGCAGGTGAATCTTTTTCTCTTTTTGATAGTTTATCAGCATTAAGCTTAATGAAATGTGCTGAATTCAATTGAATGTTTGAAAGCCTGTTTGTTCATGTGGCAGGATGAAGGCAGTGTCCTTTTTATGTCATTTTGTAGTTTATTATGTCGAAAGCCAGACAGAGAAACATACAGCAAAGGTTCGAGTAGTCGTACCCACAATACCACCTTCACACCTTTTTAGATTATTTTTAGTTTGTTGCACCCATCAACCTGGCCCTCTTTATCAACACGATTATCAACAATTGCTCATTGATTTTATTGCATTCCCTCAAGCTTTTTTTTTGTTTCTCGAAAGCTGTGAAATGCCTGTATTGTAGAGTTGTTGATGTTATTAATGTTGCTCTTTGTTTCTTTTTACCCCCTGAACTAAGCTTAGTGCTTTTACAGTAATGCAGGCACACGTGGTTGGGTCAAGACTGTTGGACAGTGTCACTGAAAGACATTTATAGCCGTTTAAGAAGTCTAATAATGAGAAAAATGTATAAACATTAAAAACTTGGGGCATTTGTTGAGACAAACGGGCACATTTTCTTTTAACATTTGTGTTTGGATTTGGAAATGGATGTCCTGAGCCCAGCTTGTCTCATTGAGAATACACCAGCCATCATTTAAGCCATGCCTGATTTGTTTTTGTTTTCTTTTGACTGACACTTTTAACAATTGCGATGCAAGTTTTTGTTTTTCTTCAACTTTATTTACTGAGTATTACCAATGCTTTTAGTACTACGTTTCCCTTGTTTCAGAAGTGTGGTTCCTTGACTTACTGGTGCTACAAGTCGTAGGACGTGGAAGGCGAGCTGCCTGTCTGTATCATTCAGCAGAGTAGAGCATAGGCTTTTTCTGTAGTCTTAACTTTTATAAAGAATATCTCTTTGGATTTGAGACTTTAGTCTTTGCAACTTTACAGATCTTCTTTATGCACCAAGAGCTTGTAACACTCCAAAAAGAAAGGAAAAATTGAAATCGCATCATATGACCCCTTTAAACTTTGGCGCTTCAAAATGGTCATGAGACCATAAAAGTAATCCATGTGAATCAAGTGGGTGATACACGATAGCTTTATATGATTAACATATTTAATTCAGGCTTTAATTCACATAAACATTGATCGGTGTCCAGAGCTCATCAAAATTTCTCGAAGCGTTTAAGTTTAGGTAGAATTGGCTTTTAATGGAGGGGCAGAAATCTCTTGAATTCAGTGCAAATCAATGTGTTTAGGCGATGAACGCCGAAAGCTTGAGTCTGGAACGATATAAGCGCGAGTAAATGCCAATTTCCATTTCTGGGTGAACGAGTGCACCTGCAGTTCACTTAATAAATGATAGATGTCACTATTTGAACACCTTTTATTAACTAAACTTGTGAAAGACAACTGTTGTGTGTTCAACATTTATTGAGCAGATTTAGTTTTATGTTTTCAACAGACAAGAGATTAAGTCATTATCAAATGATACAGTCAGTCTGTAAACTGAAAGTAAATAATGCAAATATTTCCCAGCCCGACTCAGATAGGCACAATAGAAGGGCAGTGTGACTGATTCTGGGGTTACTGAGTCTGAATTTCTCATAGCTGCACTTGTAACAGATGTATTAATGTACAAATCTTTGACGTGGCAAGTAGCTTAACCAGTAGCAGAGCTGTCTCCTCCTGATGCTGGTATAAAATTAAAACTAATGCCACCAGGCAGTGCTGTCAACCCTCATTTCTATCACATCGAAACGACGGGTCACAGTGCATGCTTATCTGTCATCCAGCATTTCACCACAATATCAATTGAGTTTAAGCACTTGTCATTTGGCCTTTAATTTGGTTTTGCATTTGGTCCATTTCAGTAAATAAAGATTATAGATTAAAAGAATATAGATTATTTGTTGCGATAAAACTAGGTTTGTTAAACATTCAGAGTAGGAAAAAATAGGTAAATGCAAATATTGCTGAAGGACTATAATGCAGAGATACCTGTTCTCTACTTCACTATGCTATGACAATCTCAGCCTAACGGTAAAAATGTAAAAGTCTTTGAGAAATGCACAACAGTGTCAAAAAATAAATTCACAGTACAACTAATACAGTTATACTCCACTAACATAAAAAAAAAACACTCAGTTTTTGACATTGTCCATTGACATTGAGGCATACCAAAGAATATAAACTGAAGTAGGGCAGTAGGTGGCAGGTGTCAATCCAGCAGGATTACAGTAGCTGTCTATCAGGAATGTTCTAATGATTCTGAAGAATATTACAGTACTGATCTTTATGCAGGAAATCATGGCATTTTCAGAAGTCTACTAAAGCCAGTGGACCACACTTCTCACAACGCACAAAACAAAGCATTTTACATAGTGTATGAGGTCTGTAAATAGGCACACATACTGTTACAGAAGCGTTTGAACAGAAGGTGCATTTTGAGTGAGAAGTGGAAACTGCTGATATCTGATGTCTCTGCTGATATCTATGAATATGATCAGAATTGAGTATGCACACACTTTCAGTTCCTGTGATAGCTGTCTGCTTTACTCGTGTGATGTGATGTTTATTTTGCACTTAGTTAAAGATGCTGTAACAACATTAAACTTTTCAGATTTTAGGCATGCCTCCCCTTTCAACATCTCTGCCATTTTGGCGTAACCATGGTGAACAAGCAATATATTTTAAGCAAACCAAAATCAGCATATGTATCTTTGAAGCTTTCAGTTTCCTCCGGTGATAAAAAGCGATCTATTTTTCCTTTAAGACGTTTGGCTGTGTCAAAATTGAACACCCCTCCAATGCATGAAAAAGTGTGTACGTGTGTGTATACTGAAAAAAGCAGCTTTATAATATACTAGTAGTGTAATGCTAATGCATTTCCAATGAGCTGAAATACAATTGAAATGTACTTGAAGTACATTAAAACGATGCTTCAAATATACTCTAACTGTAGTTCATGAAGTATTAAAAGGACATTTTAAATGTATTTTAAGAAATACACTTGCACTAAATATACTTAAAGTGGTTCCATTTTAACACAATTTCAATATATTAAATATATTACAAATAGATTAAAATCCAACTTAAACATATCTTGAAATACACTTAATATACTTAAAGTTGTTTCAAAATAATACATTTAATATGCACTTAGTATAGTATAATTTAAATATAGTAAGTATGTCTGAAAAAGCACAATTTAAATATATTTCTTTTTCACCTGGGCCATCACGCTCTCCGGCTTACCATATATGACTGCTGTATACGTGCAATTTGATTGACAGGTGGAAAGTGCCTCAAATGCGTTGTGATTGGCTGAAAAAGTGTCTAGAGCAAATTTTCCTTTTACTGTTTATAGATACTAGGACCAGTGTTGGGAAAAGTTACTAAGAAAACAGTAACTTGTGTTACTTATTTGAAAAAGTAACTCGGATATTTTCTTGTAAATTTAAAAGTCATGCATTACTTTACTACTTGCTTGAAAAAAGTAATCTGATTACATAACTGGCACTACTTGTAATGCGTTACCCCCAACACTGACTAGGACTGTCACAGAGATCGGTGTGATATCTCAGGACAGTGATTTCAGTGAGTAGGATCATTTTCTCCATACAATTCCATGACAAAAATCACTTACAGCACCTTTAACCTAGTTAACGTTGGTTTAAGTCAAAGAAATGTCTGTGGTTTTGAGCTACAGACGTATTGAGAGTGGCCTGTCCAAATCTGTGTGGCAGTGCAAATGTGATTTTAAACAGCATGAGTGCAGTGTAGGTCTCTATTATTGATTAAATATTAATCTGTCAGTAAGTAGCACACACATTAGGACATCACATCGGACTACACACTGACACGCATTAACACCACAGTTCTCCTCAATCTCCTCTTATTTGTGTCTTTCCGACCTCTTCTTAAGCAGTAATGTCCATCAGAGTTTGGTTTCTGGACTACAGGGGATGTTTTTATTCTGCTCATCTTTATCTTTAAGAAATGTTTCCACTTCTGTTGAATCCTCCATGACATTCTCGGCTCTCAGGTCACCTGAATCCTTCAGCTTCTCTGAGTTTCCATTGGCCTTGTGTGGCTCCTGTATGGGTGGCGTACTGGAGTGATTCTTTGCCTCCACTGTCTCTCCATTCTCTATTGCAGTCTCTGGTGCCTCAGGTTTCTTTTTTATGAACAGTAAGTTGCATATTGCCAACACTAAAGCTGACACCACAACCTCAATCCCAGCCAGCAGGAAAACAAACATGTAGTTCTTAGTGGAGTCCAAAAGGCGGCCTTGACAAAGTGAGAACAAGGATTTCAACAACATTCAAAGATTCTCAACAGATTACAGTAAGTGTAGCAAGGATTTTAAATTAGGGATGTGTAAAATATCTACTGTAACACATACATAATCACATCGACATACATAATATATTCGACTAGTTGGTGGGTTGTCTGAACGTTCTGATTTATTGCACAAAACTGAATTGTCAGTAGCCTTTTCTAAAGTCTTCAGAGTCACATGATCCTTCAGAAATCATTCTAATATGCTGACTTGCTGCTCAAGAAATATTTATTATTATCAATGTTGAAAACCGTTGTGCTGCTTAATATTTCTGTGGAAACTGTGATACATTTTTTTCATGATTCTTTGATGAATAGAAAGTTTAAAAGAACAGCATTTATTTGAAATAGATTTTTTATAACATTATAAATGTCTTTACTGACACTTGAATGCAGCCTTGCTGAATAAAAGTATTTGATTTATTTTAAAATACAACATAATACTGACCCTATTGACTATTGAATTATAGTGCATATTTATTGATTCATCAATGCATTCATATTTAAATAAAAAATTTGACTTGAAAAAATGGGCCGTCATAAGATTAAAAAATGTTTGTAATTTCTATTTTAGCACATTCAGTTACTTACAATAATGTTTGTCAATTTATGTGACATTTGTAGCAGAACATGTGCATTGTGTTTTATGCATTACTGTTCTTGTCCTACTAGTTCCCCACAACCATATAATGTTCTTTTCTGTTCTTGGCCAGTCAAACCATTCAAAATCTAAATTCACATACGAAGTAACATATAAGATTCTTTATTTCTCAACCTACTTTAGTTTGAGAGGAAGCTAACCTACAGTATAAATCATTTTTAGTTTAAAAGGAAATGTAAACACTCACCAGCAGATGGAGGCCCAACCAGCACAGCAAAGGCTTCAAGCAGGAGAACTAAACCAATGGCGCTTGAGAACTTCTCTGTACCCACAACAGCCATGAGAACCTCAAACTGCAATGCTCCCACCATGCCATAAGAGATGCCAAAGAAGATGCAGAACACCACCAGAGAGGAGTAGTCTTTAGACAGGGAGCCCACCAGATCTGTGATTCCATTGAACATGAGAGCAAAACTGAAGAGGTAGACGCAGCGAGGGCGAACCCACTGGAGTCCTGCGATGATGCCACACGTGGGCCGTGCAAAAATGTCAACGAAACCCAGAATGGTAAGCAGGAGGGCAGATTTCGTGTCCTCGTTTCCCAGCTCTTTGGCATAGCTCACCACAAACACTGGGGGCACAAACAAACCGAGCACCATAATGGAGGCAGCAACTGTATAAATGACAAAGCCCGGGTCTCTGAAAACACTGAAGTCCAGCAGCTTGGGCTTGGGCTTTGCTTTCTTGTTTCCGTCATCTGGTGTGTTTTTAGTCCCAGGGGTCTCTGACTTCTTTGGCGGGACCAAAGGCCTCATTAAAGCCCCACAGGCACAGCAGTTCAGAAGCATCCCTCCCAAGATGAGGAAGCCCCCTCTCCAGCCATATTCATACTGAAGGACCTGCCCCAAAGGGGACAGACAGCACAGAGCCACTGGACTCCCAGCAGCGGCCAGGCCATTAGCCAGTGGCCGCTTCTCACTGAAATATCGATTCAACATGATGAGTGATGGCTGGAAGTTCAGGGCCATTCCAAGACCTGGAATCAGAAGATAGAAATGTTTACGTGTCCCTGGATAGACATCAATCCTTCAGTAAAAGAGTAAATGATAGCTAAAGTACCTGTAATGACTCCTGTACACAAGTAAATGTGCATGATGCTTGTGGCAAATGATGCCAAGACCATTCCCAATGATGCAAAGAGGCCGCCCACCAACATCACTGGACGGCATCCAAATCGATTCACTAAAATGCTGCATAAAGGCCCTGCGAAGAGTAATTATACGTATATATTATATATCTGAACTATCTGAATCCAGTTTAAACTAATTAGAAGACATTAAAGGGATTGTTACTCAAAAATGAATATTCTGTAATCATTTACTCCAGTGCTGTTTTAGACCCCATTGACATTTGTTACTTGGACAAAAACAGTTCAGACGTTCTGTTCCCATGAAGAAAGAAAATTCATAAATATTTGGAACAACATGAGGGTGAGTAAATGATGACAGAATTTTCATTTTTTTTGGGTGAACTCCCCCTTCAAGATTTTGTTTGATTGGTGGTAAACATACCAGTGCCATAAAGCATAGCCAATAGGATGGAGGAAATCCAGGCTGTGTCACTGTAGCCCACTTCAAACTCTCTAATTAGCTCCTTGAAGAAAACACTGACAGCCTTTGGAAAAGCGTAGGAGAAGCCTGTGATAATGAAGCAACCGAAGAGCACAGCCCAACCCCAGCCACCATCAGGGGCCTTCACTCCACTACTGCCGTCATCCAGTGCCACTCCACCCATGATGCTCTACTGCTCTGTGGAGAGATGAGACACACATGTTATGAGGGGAATATAAAAAGTTGTAGTATGCAGGTCAATTATATTGCTTTCAGGACCTTAATACAAGGAATCACATTTAGTCAAATGACATTCGAGTTGGAGGTCAACAATGGCAGCTGTAATAAAACATTTTAATTATAATAAAATACCCAGGTTATAATTGCACACCAAAATCATAATGATATGCTTCACTGTAGTGTATAATCATATCACCATGCAAAAATGTTAATGGTCCTAAAACAGGCTTTAATTTTTTCTGAGATTCAATCTACAACAGAAAGAGAATTTAGAGAGAATGCTACTATGATTTTTATCACATTGTATGATTGCCTTAAATATAAATTATTAAAAGTATATGTAATTAGAATGTTTTCTAGTTTGTATTCCTTTGATGAGTGATACATGTCTGAGTGATACATGACTCCATTTGGTAATGGAATGGAAGCTATTCAATTCAATTCAATTCAAATTTATTTGTATAACGTTTTCACAATACACATTGTTTCAAAGCAGCTTTACAGAAAATGCATGTGTCTACATTACAAAGCAGACGTTAATGTGTCCAAGTAATGTTCATTTCACAAATGAACAGTTCAAGATAATCATACAGCTAGCTAACATGAATTAATTTTAGGCAGAAGCTCATTAAAGCGATTATTACAACTACAAGTGTGATCATAATGATTACAATATAGAGACATTTTGGCAGCTGTGCATGTCGATTCAAGTTGGCGTCATCTGGGGTCCTCGCAGTGGTCAGCATCATCTCTTCAAAGGTGTTTGGGGTCATCTTAAGTCTATGTTTAACATGGTACATTTTGTGAAGGAAATGGTAAATTTTGGGGTTAATGCACGTCAGCACATATACTGATCTTTCACAATATCCCCTATTCAGCTTTAATTGACTTACCGTCTACCTGAGCTCACCTATATTTGTACCAAAATGCCCTTTCGCATCGCGTACAACTGTTTTGACGTCCTGTCAGACGCGAAATATGCGCACTTTTACGCGGTTCGATGCCTTTCTGTAAAAACAAGCCTCTAATAATATAATCTCCAATCCGATTAATCTAGTATAACACTATTATTTTAAATATTGTCTGCTTGTTTACAAGCCTTCCGTAATTCTTCCGTATTTCCGAGTCACCTGTTACGTTTGTTTGTGGGGAATATACGGTAGGGATGCTGCATGGATTCGGGACAGGCTCATGCGCAGTCCACATTTATCAATGTGATGCAAGGTTATTTATTTAAGTTCATAAATAGCCACGGTATCACTTTTCATGCACGGTGTCTACATCTAAGAGCATTTTTGTGATTAGAGGCTTTTTGGGCAACTAATGTCAATTATTAATAATCAACAATAACGTGCAGATTTAAATTCATAGCTAGTCAGCTCAACTACATTACATCAAACTGACATTTATACTCGATCCTAAGATCTGTGCAAATATTTATCTTCTTCTGGAGAGGCTAATTAACGTAATTTTGGCAATACAACATGTTTATCCAAATCCTCTAATTGCCATAATAAGCTTCAGGTATATAAACTAACTGTAATGGTACTTACTACAAATATGATGCTCTGTTACCTTCAAATTTCAGTTCTGTTCCCTGGAACACGCTTCTAGCAGCACGTATGACATTATATACGTAGCTAAGTAAAAAAGAGAAACCCGACTAGCTGGCTCTGTGGACTGGGTCCTAAAGTCTGCTGCTCACATCATGTTTTCATTTCCACCTAAATGTTCCACAGAACATTGCAATTTGTTACTTTGTTTTGAGCTTTCTGGCGGGACTGGCCTCTGAAATAACCTGCGGGGCATCAGAGGAGTGATCAGTGCCGTGGTGTAACACAATCATTTAATCACAAACACACAGATCTAATGTGGGTCATGAATACATTAAGCCCAACACATCCACATTGGCTGTTGTGACTTGAGTTTTCAGACTTGAGCAAACCATGCAAAGCTGTTCAGTTCATATTTTGCATATTCCATCAGAATTTAAATTGAAACATTTTCTGGATAAATATGTCTTAAATATATAATGGATTTTTGTTGAATCAGTGTAAACAAACTCAGTGACTCATTATGGAAGCATAACAATGCAAAGGGAAAAAGGAAAAGAATGACAGGAAATGATGGGGATGACTTGACACGTTCAAGTCGAGTTCCTGTAAGTGAACTAATCTACATGTTGGTAGTTTCTCTTTTTGAATACTTGCAGAATGTCTATGTAAGTTGCCTCAAATAAATATATGGATGTATATTTAATGTGAGTGCATATGCATTCGATGTGTTGCTTAAACATTAGATTGGTGTTGATATTGGTTTTATTGATTTATTTATACCAGAATAATTGAAAAACAATATACGAAAATGTTATCTGTGCTCATGAAGCTGTGGGTGAACATGAATTTTTACTGCATTAAATTCTGCATCTCAGTAACTGTTAATGACAATGAAACTTCTAGATTTCCATGGCATCCATAGTATCCCTTCCGTCTATTAAAAGCACCGATTCAGACTGCAGGCCTACATGAAAGAAGAAGAAGAAGAAGAAGAAAAACCAGAAGAGGATCATGTTGGCAACAAATGGACAATCATTATACACGAAGAGAATGGATATGAGAGGTGTTTTAGAGACTTTCTTAATGGAGACAAAAAAGGACAAAGAGTGTGAATTATTTATGAACTGATATATTTTAGCTCCTCTCAAATTCAGATTTGGTAGTCTTTTTCTAGTTGGAAACTGGAGGCCTCTGTAGCGAATCAGCTCATAAGGGAAATATGAATAATTAATCATGTGGTCATTCGCAGACATCCTGGCGCCCAGTCTATTGGGTGAGGTGTCTGTGACGACTTGTTAATCTAATGAATAATTGATTTGTTAAATCAAATGAAAAATTGTGTTTTTGATTGGTCCAGACGCTACACCTCACATAACACTACCACAAATAATCCTGCAGAAAAACATAGTGAAGCCATACATTCTGACTGTTCACCGGGGCTCACCCCAGTATTCAAAATCATGGTTGATTAATATGTTGGTAATTGGTTATTTATTTCTAATATTTTTCCATGAATCATTATACTCATTGTCAGTGCATATATGATGGCTTGATGTTTCGCAGTAACTGACTGTATAACTTTTCATGAGTGCTTTAGATAGACACGAAATATGTTTTGATATACATTTTAAAACAGGTAGTTTTTTTTAATCGTATTCCATCTGGGCAAAGCAATAACTTGTCGCCTCAATCGCCAGTCATTTTAAAGGTCTACTCTACTGCCCTCTAGTGAGGCTTTAGAGCAACACCTTCACGCAGGATGACGCACTGCCAGGCTGCCACTCATTCAGCCAATCAGCGCACGGGCGGAAGTTGTCTGTTCTTTCTGTTTCTAATTCGCTCTTACTACTTCTAGAAATTGCTGTTTTATCTGGAAACTGGCTATCCGTTGACCTTTTGTAAATGGAAAGTGTTTATACAAAAGAGAAAGATAATATGACATCCCGAAAACGAAAAAGGGACGAAACTATAAGCAGTACGATTCCTAAAACGGAGGAGATCAGGTAACTTGGCTGTGACTGATACATTTTCATAATCATATCAATCAGCGTTTTATTGCCCTTACAACTTATATGTTCAGTGTGATGGTTGTTTGTTCAGCTCTGAGTCTTGCCTCAGTCAGCCAAACGATCAAAGTGTTCATGAAGTAATAACGAACAAGCCATCTACGTTGCCAGGTACTGATCATATATGCTGCATTTTAATCTTTTTTTAAAAGATTATTGTCTCGCTTAAAAGTTTTTTTGTGTGGTCTAACAGCAATCCACTATGATCCTGACACGACTGAGCCCATCAGCTGCAGTCTGAAGTCTCTTGATGAATTGTTGTCATGGAAACAAGTCTTTTTAATGTGGCCACTGTGCCTTTTGGCTAGCAGGTATCCTCCACTGCACAGCTGCCCTAGACGGACATTGGTGTCCCATGACATGATGGGTGGCTACCTGGAGGACAGGTACAGCTCAAAGTTTCAACCATGTTATGTCAGTTTCATTAGGTGTTTGGCCAGCCTTCAGTATCTTCATGGTCCTGTCCTTTCTGCTGAGGTTCATTCAAGGTGCAGAGGTGGAGACGCCATATGCCTTCTATCACTGGGAGTATATTGACATCTTCAACTACTTCAGTCATCAGATGGTAACCATTCCTCCTGCGGTTTGGACAAATGCAGCACATAAGCATGGAGTGCTCTCTATTGGTGAGTCTGTTGGTGGGATTTTATGGGCTAAAATCTCAGTCTTAAGCATATTAGTCTTGCTGTAAAAAGAACATCCTTGTAAAAAAAGAAGTATGCTTTAGCTAGAGTGACCATACGTCCTCTTTACCGGACATGTCCTCTTTATGGACCTAAAAAAAAGCATCCGGTGTACCGACGAAACATGCTACCTATCAGATTGTGCTACCAAAAATATATTTGCATTGTTTTAAGGGTAAGTTTAGGGTAGGGGTAGGTATGGACATTACAAAAAAGCCTCAAACCACATGAATAAGATGCTGGTAGCACAATCTGATAGGTAGCATTTTCCGCTATCGATTTGTGCTACCTATCTTTTTAATGGGAGGTAGCACAATCTGAGCGGGTAGCACAAATCGTCAGAACACCGGCCGGGATTTCTAAATCGCCCAAAATGTCCGGGATTTGGCTTTTGCTTTCTATAGTCGCCAGTTATCGTGTGTGTTTTTGTATTAGAGCCCTGCGAGGGACTGTTTTCCTAATCCCGCTCCCGTTGAATTTCTGACCATTATCGCCCACTCCTGCGATTTTTGTGTCCAGTCTCCCGACTCCCGCCCACTCTCACAAACATTCTAATAGGCTATTGCATATAATTTTCGCACATCAGGGAGCCGCTATCAATATGAGGAGTATTTAAATCTCTTTTGAATGAGCGCTCGCTGTTCACTTTCACTTTCGATTTCACGATCACGCGCGCTCTGTGTAAAGGATGATCAGATATTTGCCAATGAGCTCAGGATCTGTTGAGCAGCATATCCTCCAGCATGGTCTATTAGCCATCTCTCCTCTCAACCCGTGATCAATCAAATCTGACTCCTGCAGCTCGTGATGGATGCAGGGTTGTCAAGTCTGCTTTTTTTTCTCTCCATGGAATTGGGCTACTTTTAAACTGTTGCCATGGGTTGATTCCCCCCCGTGGGTTAAAGGTTTGAAATGTTGCATAAATTACATTTGACTAGCCATCTCTCCTCTCAACCCGTGATCAATCAAATCTGACTCCTGCAGCTCGTGATGGATGCAGGGTTGTCAAGTCTGCTTTTTTTTCTCTCCATGGAATTGGGCTACTTTTAAACTGTTGCCATGGGTTGATTCCCCCCCGTGGGTTAAAGGTTTGAAATGTTTTCCCAATTAAATTTGACTGAAATGCTTGTATTGAAACATTTTGCATTCTACCTATGATAAAACTGTGCTGTTAAGTAGCTAAGGAGGGCCACTGGTAGGAAGCTTTTTAGCTGTGTTTATGATCAAAATGCATAACAGTGACTGTAATATATGTTTTTTAGGTATGGAAATGGCATATTTTGAGTTTTGATATTTAGGATATATACTTTGGGCACTACTTTAACCACTAACCAACCACACCCCAACCCCTCCACCCTGCCTGCACCCACTGTCCTCTTTTTGGAAAACTAAAATATGGTCACCCTGGCTTTAGCATACTTTTAAAAAGAGTAAAGAAATAATATATTAAAAAGAATATACCTAACTGAATTTAATGTTTTCTGACACTAAATTGCATATTAATTGCAAATGCAATTAAATGAAAATCTATTATAGTTTAGATTTATACTAAATACTTAAGTAGGACTTAAGTATCTTTCACATGCAATTTCTTAATTCTATTGTCTTAACGGTTTCAAAGCAAAGTGTACTGCTGAGTGTACTGACTAGCATTTATGGTAAACTAAATGGTAAACTAACTTTAATGTAATTTCCATTGAAACATCCATGTATTGTTTTCAAATACATTTGTAGTTACACATTTGTAACAATTAAATTAATATTTAGTATATTTAAAATATACTAATTTGAAATGAAATATTGAATAACACACTACAGTTAAAATGATAATCATGTACTTTATTTAGTATGTTGACCAACACATCAAAATAGGTGTACTTCTTTAAAGAATGATTTAAAGAAGTTTAAAATCTACTTTAAAGTAAAACTTACATTGTTACAAAGTGCATTTTTCTTAAAAGTATGTTGAGAAACATTCTTGAATGTTTACTTTTAAGTGGCCTATTATGTCATTAATACTATCTGCAAGTAGTTTTAAAAATATATATTTTCTTTTTCACAAGGGTAGTTCACCCAAAAATTAACATTTTGTCAACATTTCCTCAACCTGATAATGTTTCAAACCATTTTTATCCTTTCTTATCTAAAACACAAAAGGAGAAATTTAGCAGTGTCCAAGCTGCTTTTTTCCATACAATAGACAGCAGGTGGCGGCCAAGCTCTTATAAGGACAAAACAGCATCATAAACATAGTCCATATGAATTATGTGCTATATTAAATGAAAATTCTGTCATTAATTACTCACCCTCGTGTTGTTCCAAACCCGTAAGACCTTCGTTCATC